TTATTGTTTGTTATGGTTCTGGTTGTTGGTTGCGGTTGTGGTTGGCTGTTGATGTTGCCGTTGCTGCCTGTTATTGTTATAGTTCTGTTTTCGGTTCGCGGTGTTACTTCGGCCAATGGGGAGGGGTGGCAACACATCTTAAAACGGATAGCATCCACTTTCAACATTTGCAGGGTGTCCTTCTCCCATGTCAGAAGAATGGGAAACCCACAGATCGTATGGGATTCGGAGAAAATTGGTGAGCCCCATTCCAGAGTGTGACGTTGGCGCCCCTTCCAGCCAAGCATAAAAGAGGCATCCTCAAAAAGACCCACTCCTCATGACTGCCATGACTGCCATGACTGCTGGGTTCAGCGTGCAGCGCATGCAGCTGCCCCTTGCATGCCAGGCATGCTGACCAAGAGACAGGAGATGGCCACTCAGGCCCGCAAGGGCAGAGTCAAGCGCAAGGAAACAGCAGAGCATCTGAGTCATTTGACCATGGCCTCCGAGGACAATTCCCCTGTCCTTTCTTTGGCCCAAAGAGGGAGCCCTACCAATTTGCAAAGTGTTCAAAGAGTATGTTTTGGAAAGGCCAATCATCGAGTTTCCTAGGGGACATATTTCGGGAGCCCTATGGAACAGATCTTCCCCCTCAATGGGTTTAAATATCCTGTAGGCATGGGGCAAATCACTAGTTTTGAATCTCCTCTTGGCACCAGTAAGTTTGAACATGGCTTGAGGGGTCCCAGTCCATATCCATGAAGGCCTCCTTGATTTGCAATTCCCATCGTTTCCCATGGACGGCCCTCATGATGGCTAGTTGAGGATGAGGACGGAAGCGGAATTGCCTAGAGTAAGCATGCCACATGGGTGCTGTTTTTGGAAAAGTCGTTCCAATGTCAGGGTTGCTCCGAAACTCGCAACAATGACTAAACCATCGTTGGGCAGAACATTGTTCTAAGGCCCTTTTGCTGTGCATTTCAAGAAGCCTGCTTTCCACCCTTGGGACAATCTCCATGAAGTGCGGCGCACCCGAATTCCTGTCGTACTATTCTATCGCAATTTGGTCCGATCTTAACCCGCACAAGAAGAGAGGCATCGAGCCATCCTTGATACTATATGAGCCTGGAGCAGAGCTGAGGATAGCACGGCTGACAGGGTATTTTTTTTTTGGCTGTTTTTTTTTTACATGATAACTACCTCATTGTTTAGTCATGGTGGGGGAGGATTGGTTTTATAGTTGCGAAACAAGAGCTCCAACAGTATGGCTTCTCGGAGACCAAGGTCACACAAGTTGTTTTGAGCTCACCGGATACGGGGGGCGCCATGAAGGTTGTTCATCAGGGCTTCCCTCATTTCGAGTTCAGCTGGTTTAAACATCACCTGCTTGGCCACTATGCGTGTCCTCGAGTGATTATTTTTTCGGTGAAAAAAGCCAGGGATCTCTAGTCGGGGATCTTCAACCTTTATCTTGATAGAATGGAAATCGTTTCTCACGGGTTGACGACGGCCGTTTGGGGGCAGGTTGGGACGATCTATTACATGGCACCGGAGGTGTTGCGCGGAGAGGCCCGGCATGGGCACTGGCCAACGTCTTGAGAAACCTGGCTGTAAGAATCAGCTGTTTAATCCTCAGGTGTTGGATGTATCCCGCTTTTGTTGGGTGTACATGTCAAAACAAGGCTGTCCATGGTAGATACCTTTCTTCTTGGGTTGGGGTTGACATCATACTCGAAAACCAATGGGCATTTGGGGGGGCACCCAACCAGGAACCCCTTCATGGGAACTCGGTTGAATCAAGCCCTAGTTTTGAATCGAGGAGTGTCCATCAGAGGGCTTCGCTTGTGAGCGAGGGGAAACACTACCCCTCTATGCATTTGCAAGGTTTATGGATCTGGGGTCGAGATTCTTCATCGATGTTTTGCCCGTAGGCTGATTTGGCCTTAAATGTTTTTTTTTTCTCGGTGGGTCTTGACGAGGGGTGCGGGGTGTCTGAAACCAGAAGACAAGTGGTGGGAAGGCTGTCGCGGGCTGAAGGCTTAGCTGGAAAGAAAACAAAGCCAGGCAGCATCCCCAACAGCACTGGAACCTCTCCGGACCGGCTCCGAAAGACTCCATAGCCATCGCAAGCCTAGTCCTTGCCTCCCGATCCCTGCGGGCGGAAGAGGACGGTCCCAATTTCTGCCATTGGCAGGATTCCTCTTCGGGGATAAAAGGAGCGAAGCCTCCCTTGCTTTTTTTCGGAGTTTAGTGGCTGGGTTTTCATTTCACCCACTCAAAGTTTCACTTTACTCCCCCCCCCCAACAGGCCCTCACATGCAAGTAGCGCAGCCAGCGTTGCGCGTAATTCATACAGCAATCAGGCAAGCGCAGCACAAGTTGCTAACCCCGCCTTCTTCCTCGTAAGAAAGGTCCCTGTAACATTATTAGTTGAACAAAAGGCAAATCCAGGCCTCCAACAGAAATCCAGGTCCGGGAATACCAGTGCTAAACAAGCGATTCTCCCTCATGACCCCGACTCGAGCCGCATTAGGGGACAGAACCCGAAACTGGCTAGTTTGATTTGACTTCATTTAACAGTTGAGCGGTTTGTTGGCCGCAAGCTTCTTTGGTGGGGAGAGGGACATTATGATTGAAAATGAGCACCGCGCTACACGCGCGGAAGCATGCGGAAGGCTTCGTGGCAGGAATTTGTTTGCGGAAGGTTTGCGGAAGCTTTGCGGCTGATATGAAATTAAATATTTCGGTGGGTGCATGGAAAAGCACGGAGAAACGACTACAGTAGAAGAGCAAAGGTGTCGCTGCATACAAGACTCGCAACGCTTACTCGAAGGTCAGTTGCCAACAGCAAGCCAAGAAGACCAAAACAGCCGGCGTATTTCGCGGAAGGTTTGCGGAAGCTTCGCGGAAGCTCCGCGGAAGGGTGGCCCCGTGTTTGCAGGCAAGCGGCCACGTAGCATGGGTAGCCCAATGGAGCCCAAACCTACAGGCTGCGGCGAAACACTACCGTACTTAAAATGACTTTCCTTTCTGCGCCAAGACTCGCGGAAGCAAATCTTGTAAACCATGCGCCGCGGAAGGCTTGCGGAAGCAAACAATGAAACACATCTGCCGCGGAAGGGACCTCTCCCGCGGCAAGGATGCGGAAGGGTCCGCGGAAGCTTGAACAATGTCCAAGCAAGTTTGTAGGGAAACAAAACCAACGCTCAGTTGGATTTGGGGAGCTATTCCGGGCATTCGCAATTGGAATTATTTCGTGCTGCTGCCTGCGTGTCTGCGCTTTCAAGCGGCTGGGGTCTTGTTCAAGCTCTGTCTTTTGTGGCTAGTCCCAAAACAAGTTCCAAGCATCTTATTTGCCTGGCTGTGCTTTTGGTTGCTCGAAGGGTTTGCCAACCTGCCAACCTGCCTGCCTGCACACCTGAACCATGCACTCGACCCAGTGAAAAGAGACTGTTCGACCCGGGGAAGGAAAGTACTTTGCGCTACCACTCAAACTACTCCCTAAAGAACCACCAGGGGCCCCCCTAATAATACTCAAAACAATGAGGAAACATGTGGGAAACAATTTGTTTTGTTAGGGGTCCGCGGGGGGGGGGGGTCGGTATTTGGGGGAAGGGATTAGCAAAATCTCCTGGCCACGCTGCGGCATCAGCAATTGTCAATAATGACCTTATCATATTAGCCAGCGTGCTATGATAATATGACAAGTGCTGCAACAAGACAGCAGCAAAGCAGCAACACACAGCTCATCGACCGCATCAGCGTCACTAGGAGGGATGGACAGAAAGAGCACGGCAGCAAGGCAGCAAGGCAAAGGCCTCCGAACAGGAACAGTTCCTGGAACCTTCAGATCGAACGGGCTCCGAGGGCTCGGGGAATTCTTGGGGTGCGAATGATTCGCCTTATTGAGCCATAGGAAGCCCACACCCGCTTTTTGTTGGTTCCATGCAAGCCCCCAATTGGACATATGGGTCCTCCTCGGAAGCAACACACTGCAGCAGACGCCAAGGTGAGCCCGGCCAGCGACATTTGGGCAGTGGGCGTGCCGCGCCCAGCGAGTTTGTGGACCTTAGAGTCTCAGCGCGAAGGGTGGAGGGGGTTTTCTTTCGCCGGCGCGCGGTGATTTTTTGCCGGGAGAGCAGCGCCGGCCATTTTGCGGGTCGGACTTTTCAAGACACGGAGTCTTCAAGGCCAGCACGGCTTTGGGAATCAGGGGTGGATTTGGGCGTGTCGGTCATCTTTTCGGCGTTGGTTCAAAGGAAAACCAGAAAACACGCCATGTTGTGGGGACTTGCCCGCATTTTGAGACACGCCCATTTGATAACAGGATTGTTGAACAGGCAGGCCTTTCATTTAGTTCGTGGTTATTCCCACAACCCCCTACCCCAATTACTTTTCGTTGGTAGAGCATATCTAAGAAGCAAACAACATATTGTTTTTCAGTGAACGCTTTTCTTGTAGCCTGGGATTGACATCCTACCCTTGAAATGGAGGGCAGTTGGAGCATGGAACCTGAGTCTGTGTGCTTTGGCGTTCTGAAGCTGCGTGGTCATTGCTGCCGTGGCTGCTTGCTGCTCGGTGGCTGAGCCAGATGCCAATGGTTTCCCTTGCTGTGTCCCATCTGATCCCCAAAAGACGGACCTTTTTTGCTTGGTCTTTAAAGGAGAATGAACAGGACACCTACCTTCTAGGGGACATTTTGAGAAGCATCGAAATCTTGCAAGTGCACTACATCCATCCTCCCCCCCCCCACCGAAATAAATTCAAAACTTCTGCCGCGTCCAGGTTGTTCCCCCTGCGGAGCTGGGCAAAAGAGTGTTCCGCCAATTGAGTTGGCATCAATACTTGAAGGAGCTTGGAATATCAGTGACTAAATACTTGAAGAGGAACTTAGAAGAGAAGTGACTAGTAGCCACCCTAAGCATCAAGCGGGCCCTCAAAATGGCGTCCTTCTTGAGATCCAGCAACTTCCAATAAAAGTCTCGCCCTTTTTGGAGGTCCAGGGCGGGCAGGGTTATGACCCACAGCAATGGCCCCATGTTCTCATCAGGATTCCTTTTTTTTGTCCAATGAGAGACGGGTCAAAGGGAACCTGCGTGACTTTGATGCTTCCCATATGAGTCAAAATAAGGAGAACCCCCTCCCCCCACAACACACAACACGAGGCTTTTGGCGTCCCATTGGCCCCAGCCTCAAAAAGGGAACCAACTCAAAAGACACGCAGACCCATGAGATTCTGCATCCTCCTCGGCTCCAACCGCGCATCTCGAATGGATCTTTAGGTGATGACCTTTGAGCTCGGGCCCCATCGACGGAGAGACCAGCAGTGTGTCCTGCTGCCCCAATGCCACACGTCTCATGCCCGCGCATTGGTATGTTCAAACGTGTAATTACGCAATGCAAGCAAATTACAGACCCGTCGCACTCCAAGAACCTCACCTTAAGGCAAGTGGTTTTCGAAGCAGCTGAAACCGAAAGTCTGGAAGATACAGGGATCCAACCCAAGGGCACTGTCTTGCTCTGCCTTAAAATGGGTACTGGCAACTTTGGATGGCTTAGGTGAATTGTGGCCGCATTTTGGCCCAGGCATCCGTTCAGCCAAGGAGAACATTAAGAAGGATTCCGGGAGTGGCTTCCCTTAGAGAATACCGTCGAAGGCGTCACTTTCATCGACCCAGTACAAGTAGGAAGTCTGTGCACAGGACATTCCCCCCTGGCATGACTATAACCAAGAGGAGACATGTTCCGTTTGATCAATGCTGGGTGGGAGCACGTGTGAATCTGTGTATGTGTGACTCCGTGTGTGTGTGTGTGTGTGTGTGTGTGTTGGCCTGGGACTGTGTTTGCGGGTGATTGGGGGACATTGGCCCGGGCTACTGTCTATGGCCATATTTGCAAAGTGTCGGACCATCAGTTCCATTCGCCACCTGGGGCAATTGCACAGACGTTCCGAAGATTGTGTTTGATGCTTTTGTGTCAGTCTTACCCTCTTTCCAAGTTTCATGGAAGGGAACAGGAGTCCTCTCAACAGAACGGTAGTCTTCCAAAACCCTGTCAGCTTTCATCCGATGTAGAGCTGAGCTGCTGACCCTTTTACAAGCTGGTTCTACTACCTAGTTTCACGGGGGTTTATAGAGATTCCTGTCTTGTTTTGGACATCTAGTTCCTTTTCCATTCCTTTCCTGCGGTTGTTCACATCACATGGGTCCAAATAGCAAGCGCACTTCAGGTAAAGCTTGACAGCACTTGGAAGGTGTCGGCTAGTTGGGAGATATATGTATGATATATATTTATATTATACATATAGTTACGTGAAGAAGACACAAATAGTAAATACCTCCTTTTTCTGATCAGGCATCGACATTGTTTGACGCCATACCCTACAGGTGGCTATTGGGTGTGTCTTCAGAAAAGTAGCGGGCTGGGGCAGTTGTCAGTTTTGACCGATCGCTTGCTGCATGCCTGGAGTTGCGCCGCGGCTCCAAGAGGGTCGGTCGGTCACCTTAAATATTTTTGGATACAAATGGCTCCACGGAAATCAACAGGGTCGGCCTCCACGGAAATCTTGCTTTTGGTGGCTCACTCGGAGCAAAAGGACAAGCTCTTTATACGGGGCAAAATGAAACTTACGGGGCAATCTAAAACTGGACAGTTTGATATTGCCGCAGCATAGCCTTAAACAGGGTGCGGGTTGGACTTTGCGACGAGACGAGGTGCCTCTATGGCTCCCCGCCTTTCCGTGTGGAGGAGAAAGGGGATGAGGCGGGTTTGCGACGTCCCGTGAAGGTTTTTCCATGGGGAGCCCCGTGTTTTCGATTATAGCAAGTCGCTCGCTTTTTTTCTAAAGCTTGATTAAATATGAAAACGACTCTGGTCATTTCTTTTTGTGGGGCATCAGAAGCGAAGGATGCGTATACTAAAAAGCTGCGATGTTCGAGCTGGAGCTGCCAAAGAGCCTGTAGCTGCCAAAGTGCACTGGCTGTACTACGCTTGTACTGGCAAGTTGTAGTTTTGCGCAGCCCTTAGTGTGTTGAGTCGCAAAGGAGCGTTAGCAGGCGTCTAGCCAACTGAGTCTCGTGTCGGCAGTTTTGCGGGAGTGGTCGCTTTTGGCGTAGGCGGCGTAGGCATTGTGTTTGCAGTAAAAACGATAAGGCCCCACGCTACAACAAAACAACTGCTCATTTGTCATCCACAAGCACGAACAAGGATCTGAGAGAAGGTGCCTGTAACTTCTTTGGAAAAAACCCTTAGTTGGGGTTTGGCACGCATTGATCACCTTGTGGCTGACTAGGGGCGGTTTACTTTGCGGAGAACTGGCAAACGCAGCGGCGTTGCCCTGTGGAACCTCCTACGGGTCAAGCTCGCCGTTTGCACGTCAGTCACTCGCTGTGGAAGTTCAAAGAGAGTCTATAGACCGAGGTTGGAAGATCCCCTTTCACTCACTTCTCCAAAGCCTTTTGACCGTTTGGTTTCATATTTTGTGGTCACAAAAGGTTAGCCCTTTAGGTCCTCGAAAAAATGGGCGTCCCTGGCGTTGATTTTCTTGCGTGTGTTTCCCGACCTCTAAAAGTGGGACACCCCCGAGCACGGTTTGCTTCAATGTTGCCATGTTTTTAGTTTTCAGGTTGTTCTTGGTTTTGCTAGTTTTTAGTAGGGGCTGCTTTAAAGCAAGGTCTTTTGCTATCCCAAGGGAGGGCAGTTTACTAGTCAAGAACCAGGAATTCAAAGCCCCAAGCCACCAATTCAGCGCAAGCTGAAAGTTTCCCTCAGCTCATGTGTTTCTAGAGGCGATCCTTTTTTGGGCTGGCTGAGAAGACAACCACATTTGTGGGTTCACCTGTTTTGACACGTACCCATGCCAATTTGGGCACATGATCGACGTCACATTCCGGGGTTGAAACGTCATAAGAGAAGCGTCGTTTCTCAGGGCGCCATTTCTTATTTTCGGTGGGTGAATCATCGGATTTGCCATTTTGGGGTCCACCCATTTTGGACCACCAGTTTGGGAAACCACCTCTTTGAGAGGTTCCAAGTACCCATGTCATCCCTCGTTTTCCTTTCACTCGATTCGAATGGGTCAGCTGCTTGCTCAGTCGCGCTGAGGTGAAGAAGCGTCACATCATGCGGCAGATGGCCGGACGCCCGGTCCTTTCTGCTGGTTCTTGGGGCTGCCTCTATTGTTCCGTTGTCTATTTGGCTGTGGGTCAAAAATCGGAATCCCCAAAAATGAACCCTGGCAAATGGAACCAAAGACTAAAACATGCGGTCCCCTGGTGGTTTTACTTTGACTCATACCCATTTGTTTACATGCAACCTGAGGATTTCAAGGTTGGAGCTCAAGTAGCCCCACAGGAATTCGTTTTGGAAGAGCATGTGGCGCGGATTGATCCCCTTAGCCACGTGGAAGATGCAACTTAAGGGTCCCAACTCTTTTCGGCATTCGAACAAGGTTGTCTTCAAAGCCTCCTTGGCTCATTGGTACCTAAGCATTAGACTCCGTTTTACCCTATAGAGCGTACATCGGAACCTCGGCGCAGATCGAAGGCCGGTGTGCGTCGCCAGGTGCTGAACCACAAGACTTCCCTTCCGCCGCCGGAGCCTTGGAGGAGCCGGCACGACGCCTCACGCCGGGAAGCAAACTCAGTGACACGAAGAGGAGCAAGATGATTCAGCCATGAGGTGCCTTGAGGCTTGCAGTCGTGGCAAGCTGGCCGCAAACTTGGCCACTTTGCCCCCGATTTCTCGCGGCCGTAGCTCATTGGGGGGGCAGGGCTCTAAATGGCACAGGCGCACAAATGCCAGAGGTCCCAATCACCAATCGATTCACACCAGTAAAACTATTGGGGTGAATATTAGTATAGCCACCATTGTTTACCTAAGGAGTTCTGTCATCTCAAGTGGGCCAACCATTTCTTGATGGGAGTTGAACACTATCACTTTCCACTCGTAGTTGCGGATTCCCTCCGGAGAAGCCAAATCCATGTGTGCGAGCTGTACCTATTGGGCAACTGATTGCTGTTCACAGGGACCATGTTCACAAAACTCTCACGGGGTTGGCCATTTTGGTCCGAGAGACAGACCCTCTCCACGAACATCCAGGGTCCGTACCATCTTCCTCTCCACATCTCTGGTGTCAACGGCGGGAATTTCCCGCACCGGGATTAGCACCTCCAGAGGAAAGTTGGACCTCAAACAGACTCTTCTTCAGGCCCAGATGCATAGCGTCAGAAAGAATCAATATCCTTGAAGGTCCAAGAGTGTTCAAGCCTTTGGGATACAGCAAGGAATGCTCACACTGCATTGACCCCAAAACCCCGATTGGTCCCAGTGAACAGGTGTGTTATAGGAAGGCCAAAACAGGTCTGAACTATGTTGGTAAATGTCAATGGTCATATACTGATTCAGAGCTGGGAGCCATAGCCCAGTGAGTAGCGACTGGAGCCTTAACCTTCCCATGGCTCTTGCGAGGCTCTGAATCAGTATAGCATGGGGATTCTGAGTGCGGGGTGAGTTGGTAGATGGCGCACATTCCAACTTGGGTAGAGGGCATGACTCCCCTCCTCTCCACTAATATGCGAACCCAGCAGAGGGTCAAGGAAAAGAGTCTTCCAGGACCCGTCAGTCGGGTTCCATGTCAGTGGACCAGAGGCTAACCCCAAATGGCTTAGACGTGTGTCGCCCTCTTGGACTGGGACTGAAGAATCTCAACGAAAGGTCGCCCTTGTGGGAAACCCTGGTAGCCGTCATTCGTCGAACCGCGGGTCCCTTGAAACCTGAGGTCCGTTGCAACCCCCAAAAGCCATCAGGGGTCCAAGGGACGCATTGGACACGGGGCGGTGCTGCAACGACGTTTCGCTGAGGCGAATGGCCAAAGCCAAGAAGCTCGGCGTGGGGAAAGCCCAGCTCCAACCGCTGAAATGGGGCGGTGTCCACCAGGATAATTTGAATCAACCAGTGGGCATTTGTGTCTATAGTTTTTTCTCAACAGGATCCCAGGAAGGTTTCCACATGCTTCCTTCGGGAATCCGGGCCTGGGTTTTGCATGTCAAATTCTGTGCTTTCTTGCTAGTAACTGTGTGTGTGTGTAGATGTGTGGGTGGGTGGGTGGGTGGGTGGGGTGGGTGGGGTGGGTGGGTGGTGGGTGGGTGGGTGGGTGGGTGGGTGGTGGGTGGGTGGGGTGGGTGGGTGGGTGGGTGGGTGGGTGGGTGGGTGGGTGGGTGGGTGGGTGGGTGGGTGGGTGGGTGGGTGTGGGTGGGTGGGTGGGTGGGTGGGTGGGTGGGTGGGTGGGTGGGTGGGTGGGTGGGTGGGTGGGTGGGTGGGTGGGTGGGTGGGTGGGTGGGTGGGTGGGTGGGTGGGTGGGGTGGGTGTGTGGGTGTGTGGGTGTGTGGTGTGGGTGGTGGGTGGGTGGGTGTGGGTGGGTGGGTGGGTGGGTGTGGGTGGGTGGGTGGGTGGGTGGGTGGGTGGGTGGGTGGGTGGGTGGGTGGTGGGTGGTGGGTGGTGGGTGGAGGGGTGTGGGTGTGGTGGGTGTGGGTGCGTGGGTGCGTGGTGGGTGTGTGCGTGTGGGTGTGGGTGCGTGTGTGGGTGTGCGTGGGTGTGTGTGGGTGCGTGGGTGCGTGGGTGCGTGGGTGCGTGGGTGGTGCGTGTGTGTGTGTGTGTGTGTGTGTGTGTGTGTGTGTGTGTGTGTGTGTGTGTGTGTGTGTGTGTGTGTGTGTGTGTGTGTGTGTGTGTGTGTGTGTGTGTGTGTGTGTGTGTGTGTGTGTGTGTGTGTGTGTGTGTGTGTGTGTGTGTGTGTGTGTGTGTGTGTGTGTGTGTGTGTGTGTGTGTGTGTGTGTGTGTGTGTGTGTGTGTGTGTGTGTGTGTGTGTGTGTGTGTGTGTGTGTGTGTGTGTGTGTGTGTGTGTGTGTGTGTGTGTGTGTGTGTGTGTGTGTGTGTGTGTGTGTGTGTCTGTGTGTGTGTCTGTGTGTGTGTCTGTGTGTGGGCGCGGGCGCGGCGTGCGGGCGTGCGGGCGTGGGCGTGCACGCGCGCGCGCGCGCACGTGCGGCGGGGCGGGGCGGGGAGGGGCGGGGCGGGTGGGTGGGTGGGTGTGTGTGTGTGTTGGAGCCTCTGCGTGGTGGGATCCCCTGAAAAAGACAGATCCAACTTGTGCCCTGCAACCTTTTCCCGTCCCCAAAATGGTCGGTGTCCTATTCGCCTGCGTTGAAGCCGGGTTTTCGCCGAGTTCATCCCCGCTGACGCGGAGACGTTTATCTCCAAGGTCATGTGCGAAGCGCGGGGGCACCTGAGACGCCATGCAGAATCCTTTTGGGTTGCAACAGAAAGTTTAAAAGTAATATGGCTGTGGGTCAAAATTGTGGGGACAGTCAAGAATTTAAGGACCGGCTGATGTAGAGGGTCCCCTTGTAAAGCAGGTGGTTTTGGATGTATTCTTTAAGGAACCCTGCAAAAGTACATGATCCCTACATGGGGACATTGCGCGGGTCCCCCGCGTGTGCTCCCCAAGCTAACTAGCAATGGATCAGTAATTTCGTCAGCGGCACCCAGGTCAAAAATCCTCACACCCGCGGGATGAATAAAAGCTGCCCGGGAAAAATGATGATTTTGTGCCATGCATTGCGTTCCATCTTGACTTTGTCACACAGGGGTGAAACCAGCAATGTCCGAAGCCACGGCTTTTAAAGTAATCCGGGCACATGGTCACTCAAGATCAACCAGGTTGCTCCAGGTACCCGTTCTCTTACCTGCAACAAGGTGACAGCTTGGCACTCAAAAGGGGTAGTGGGAACTCCAGCTTACCAAACCCCTGGTTGATGAATAGCGGGTGTCCCTTTAGTGGGGATGCATCACTTTTAGAGTGGAACACCCCTTTAGTAGTAGAACGATCTATTACTCTGGGTCAACATTCATTGGTAGCCAACCAAAATCAGCTGCATTTACTACATTTGGGGGCAAACGCATGGGAACTTTTGCAGGGAACCAGGGTGGGTTGAGCTTTATTGGTGTGGGTGCCTTTGTTTGGTGTCTCCAAAACGAGTTTCCATAGACTAATAATATGACGCGGAGTCTGAACATATGCTTTTCTGTCCCCGACCCAGATGCTCCAAGTCGTGCGGGTTGCACTTTGCAGGTTGGTCTAAAGGGCAACCAAAAGGACACCCAGCAGTTGGAGGTTCCAAATCCCTGTGTTCACACACACACACACACACGCTGAAGGGGGTTGTGTGTCCGTCGCCGATATCGCCTGTTTGGATCAGATATTCCTTAGTTCGTGGTTTGGCTTGGTTTGGGGAATTGAAACCCTGGTTCTTGAAGGAAGATACCCCTGAACCACCAAACCTTTCAAACCACCAATGACTGGGAAGCTGATCAGAAGTGCTTTGTCTGAGTTGATCCACGTGGTTGTGGACCCATGTTGCTCCCCTTGCGTGGACCAATCCTGATATTTGGGGGCGTGAGTTTAACAGTCAGATTTGGGTTCTCAAAACCCCAACACGAGTTGTTTCCTTGTATGCCTTTAACGCCACTCAAGGGGCCGGCCTACCGCTGTCCCAACCGGTTGCCGAAAAGGAAAGGCACCTACCAGTTTGGGGCATGTGAATTCCTCAGGCTACAGCTTCATCTTTGCCTGCAGAAAGCCATGGTTGCAAGCATGATATCCAAAGGGTCCGAACAAATTGACAGCGTTCCGAAGGTTGCCGCAGCAAAATACCCGCTTTTTCAGGGTGCATTGCGCAGAACCCGGTGTTCCATGGGCAAATATTGCCTTTTATAGCCAGGGCCTGACATCAATTGACATGCCCTAAACCAAAAGTGTGTATTCGGAGGCTCCAAAAAAGTCTGGGTTCCTGCAAACCTAGTTGATCTACGAAGACGAGTAATTGGTTGCCAACACATTAACGGAAGGAGCCCTTAAAAGGGATCACCCAGAATCGAGATTCCTTTGCAACCGACGGGTACTTGGCTGCCATGTTAATCTGCACGGGAGAAACCCTCGACAAAATGGGCTCGACCCCATTTTTAGTGGCCTTGGACTGAAAGGGTTGCCTCGAGCACGGTGACCTTGACGGTACCTATGGTATGACATGTTCAAAATTGGGAAGACCCCACACCAACAGGAAACCCGCATCCGCCCTGTGAAAGCGGAAGCGGGGTTGAATTTTGTGTTTGCAGAGTTGCTTCGAAAGCAATTGAAGAAGACGCAAAAAGCGCAGAAATCTGGAGAAGCCTCCTTTGGTCCACCGTCAGGGTTGGATATCCCGAATGACAGGGATTTCAGGGCGCCACTTCCGTCAGTGAAGCTGGCCCGAGGGCCGTGCGCATTCCCATCGCGCCCTTGGCTCAGCAAGTTCTTTGGGCGCCCTTCGACGTTGTTTGGATTCGCCTTGCACGTGCACGGAACCGGTTCTTTCCCACCCGAGTCCGATACTGTTCTTGGGAAGACGGGGGCTTGGCCGCGAAAGGAAAGCCAAAACGAAGAAAGGACAACATCATAACAACGACAACGAACATCGTGGGCACGATAGGGGCACTCATAGAGGAGCTGCAGAGGAACTGAGGAACTGTAGCTCCTTCTTAAGCTCCTTCATAGTTTCTCTACAGCTCATATAGTTCCTCTATAGCTCCTCTACAGCTCATCTACAGTTCCTCTGTCATCTATCGCTCCTTTTTTCTACAGCTCCTCAACAGCCTCTACAGCTCCAATATACTCCTTCACCTCCCTTACAGCTCCTCTTTTCCTCCTCTGGCAGAGCCATTTTCCACTCCTTTGTACTCAGCTCCTCTATAGCTTCTTTACAGTTTTCGCTGCAGCCCTTTCTATCGCTCCTCAATAGCTCTTCCATAGCTCTTCTACGGCTTCTCCGTTAAAGATCTCTGGTGATGTGTGTTGGAGGGATGTCGTTCTTCCAGACATCACCATGGCTTCCTTCAGTTGCTTCTGTGCAGAGTATAGCTGAGCCAGCAAAACGAGGTCACGAAGGCCCTTCATATGGGGAGGTCCCTTTGCGCGGAAGGACTCAAGTGGTCAGCTGAGATGTGGAGCGAACCACTGTGTTGGTGTTTGGTGTTTCAACTTAACCAGAGCTCCTATCCCCAGCACCAGACCCCACCTCAGAAACATCAACCCTCCAAAACCACCCCGAAACCAGACCCAAACCAACCCGAAGCCCAACCCGAAAGAAGCCTAAACCAAGCAGGAACCAACCCTAAACCAGGCCTAAATCAACCCAACAAGCCAGCTTGAAGCTCGCTTTTCACCGCAAGCCCTTGCAAGCGAAGCGCTGAACCAGGCCTAACCCGAGAGCGGCTAAACCACTTTGAACAAGCCCTAAATGCGCCTCAAACACTCCCTTAGCCAAACCTGAGCAAACCCTAAAAAACGCGAAGCAATCGAAGTCTAGCCTGAAATGACGCCAACACCCGCACTTTGCCAAACCTGCGCAATCCCCACTACGAGCCCACCCAAAACTGAGAGTATTAACCCCCAAGCCGACCCATATAATATATAATATATACCCTGACTCCAATCAAGCAGCCCCAGACCGCTCCGATCCCTGCAAGTGGGACTCCGAGTGCCAGTCCACCTGGATGCACCAACTTAGAAAGTTATAGCCATGAATATACCTACGGTGGGGTTAGGAAAGCTTTCCGGTTGTCCTTTGGCAACGAATTGCATAAGGATCTTTGGGAAGGCCTGTCCAAAAAGCCGGTTTCCGTGGTATTGAATCAAGCTACCTCATGGCAGAGTATGTGGCCAATTCAAGCCGAGCAATGAATTGGGTCAATAAACCCACCATTCTTTGCCAGACATTTGAATCGAAATTGTGTCGGTTCCTTGGTTTACCTCGTGAGCCCTCTGCACCGGAGCCGTATAAACACAGCTCGCTTCCGTGTTCAAATATGTTCAACTGGGACGTGCTCATGGGAACTGGGACATGTCATGGCTTTCTGTGATACCAAGACGGACTTTTCGTGGTGGCAAGTCCTGCTGTTGACCACCGCACCCATTTCGGTATCAAAGGCAAGGATTCAGATGAGTGGTACCAAGGTTCCTCCAGACCCCGTTGAAAGGCAACCCTCAGCAAAGGTGAGCTGGATCCTATCGCCCGCTTCACGTGTTGTAAGCCAAGACCCCTCAAGATGGAGGGGGGGTGGGACCGCTGCTACTCACTACTCACCCAACAAGGTTCGAGTACTTTTCCTTGAGCCCCAAAAGTGGCAGTTTCATGAAACAGTAGAATGATGTCCGCTTCTCTCTGAAGCAGCCGTGCTTCAATGAACTGTCAGTCTTCCGCAGCTATGGGCTGATCAACGTTGGGGGGATTCATGAAATATTAGTGTTTCTCAACAACAGAAGCTCCCTGTGGTTTCCCTCAAAAATCCAACCAAAAGGGTCCCCTATTTAAAAAAAAAGACAACTCCCCTGTCCGACTCGAAGGAAAGGCTCCCCGAAATGGGTGACTGTCCTTTTGGTTTGCCTTGAAACCAAACTAAATAGCGTACCCCAACAGCCACAAACACGTATGATTGGCGTCTCCAGGTAATTGAAGGGGGACCAAAAGGAAGCGAACAAATTCTAGGGGACCACTTTTTGAGAACCCCCAACACCATCAAACACCCCCCCTGTATGGGTGGAAACGGGGGGCCCCTGGTCGCCCTCCTAGGCAGTGCCGCGCTGAGCCCTTCTTCCAGGGCCTGGACTTCTCGTTGGGGCCCCAAACTCACCCACTGAGTTTCATCGTCTACATGAGTCCGTCATCTTTTTGGGAGCACCGCAACTTTTTTGCTACAGGGAAACCAACAGAAACTATCCCCTTTTTTTGGGGGGGAGGGGGCCAAAAAGGAGACACACCCATATTGGGTCACAAACAAAATGCCTTCAGTGGAATACAAAATGAACCCTATCGGGCTCAGATTCCATGTTTTTTGGCACTCAAAAATAGGGACTGTTTCTTTTTGGGCCCGAACGAGGCGATTCTGGTTCATTGGATGAGCCTGGTTCCATTTTGGCAACCTTAAGAATTGATTGGATGGCTCAACCCCGTGCAAAAAAGTGTTTAACTTGTGCTGCTAAATTTCTCGCATCCCTCCATTTCCTGAAAGTTGCAAGACTTAAGATCCAACCAAAGGGGAGCCAACATAACACATTCTCAAAGGAGACCCCACTTACATCAAGGTGAAAGTAGATGGCACACTTTCCCTTACACGGGTAAGTAGAGGGAAGACCAAATGTGCCACTTACCTTCACCCGACTGGGCACCACTCATCCTCATCTGCAGGGGAGGCATGGGGCACACGAGCCAAAGTATTCGGAAATAGAGGGTTCATCAAACCGCAACGTTGATGGACATACTGGATACCAGGGTATCCCCAAAAGACTAGTTCAAGGGGACCCACCTATGATGAAACTTCGTGGAGGTTACATGCACCCAACGCAGGGAATTGCAGGGCCGGTTTCTGGAAATGCCCTGAGAGGAACCCTATGCAGGTTCTATTGCCTTTGGGCCCTAAGGGTCATGACACCTATGCAGATCCCTCCAGGCCTTGCAAGCGACCAATTCCTCAAGGGTCCTCAAACACAACCCAGTTTGGGGCCCGGAAAAAAAAATGAATCAGTGGCTTAGGGCAGAATCTGAAAAACATGTTTGCTGCGCCCCTGACTTGGACCAAGTTGCCGGTGGCGAGCCTAACCTTTTGGTTCAAAATCGCCAAGCTTTCCGTACAACGTGCCCAACGTCTTGCAGGTCATTCTGCGTCCCCTAATTAAGTGGTTGCAGGGGCAAAACAATATTTTAGAGGGTGGATTTGGTTTGCCTCAAACCACGACCACCAGAGCGTAATTCTGCACCTTCTTCCTCTCGAGCCAGGGTTATCCCCGGTCGGAGTCGGGCATCTTTAAATGTTGATTGATTGGTGGGTTGGTTGGTTGGTGGGTTGGTGGGTTGGTGGGTTGGTGGGTTGGTGGGTTGGTGGGTTGGTGAGTTGGTTGGTGGGTTGGTTGGTTGGTGGGTTGGTAGTTGATTGGTTGGTTGGTTGGTCGTTGGTTGGTTGGTTGGTTGGTTGGCTGGTTGGTTGTTTGGTTGGTTGGTTGGTTGGTTATTTGGTTATTTGGTTATTTGGCTATTTGGTTATTTGGCTATTTGGCTATTGGGCTGGTTTGGTGGATGGTTGTTTGTTTGGTTGGTAAATTGTTTTCTTGGTTGACATAGCAGGAATCGTGTTAGTTAACCTTCGGTGTTCCTACTGCCAGTACTTCAGGGGGTTAACACTACTCCCTAAACGTTGGTAGGGGGCTGGCTATGTTCTTTGGCGGGTCGGTGCGAGTCTAATTGGCCTCCGAAGAAGAGTTTTGCCCGCGGGCGGTTTTGTTTGGTTTCAAATTTCCCCAACGCCCACAAAACAACAAGTCACCTGGGCTGCCACCTACTCCCCAAAACCACTGGTTTGGTGCAGGGGATGTCAACCCCTGGCTGAAAAGGGTTGGCAAAAGCCATGAGCCGAGTTTTGTGGTTGGGGCCGTTCCGGAGTCGAGCTGAGAGGCGCTTGCATTTGATGGAGCCCCCCTTCAAACCTGAGCTCTCGGGCCGGGAGCCACAGCTCGAGCGATCGAGGCTCGGGAGCTGGATGGAAGATGTTGGCTCCGCGTTGTTACGTTGACTCTTTGTTCTTCTGTTCTGCAAGACCTTCCTCTTGGTAGTGATGATCAACTTTCCTGCGAATCAGAGGAAAGTGGAGGAAACTGAGGGAAGCTGACGGCTGGAGGAAAAAGGGACATGTTTGTGGGATCCTCCAACCTCGCTTAAGGGCCGAGGAATTGGTGGCGATTTGGGTTCGCCAGCCGTTCGGGAGCCCTGGGTCATGACTCGGGTAGCTGGGTTTGTGGGAAGCTAAATGGGGCCCGCTGCAATGGGGGGGCCCGCTGCCTTCAGGTCCACCTTCCGCTGCGCCGGTGCTGTGCAGACTCCTCCAACGGGCCCGATGCACAATCCATAGCGCCCAATTCCTCAGACAACAAACAAGGTATTCGACTGGAACCTGCTTGTTTCGTGCGCTGACATCATTCAACATCGCAAACAAAGCGAGTAGAGGGAGGGGGAGAAGAGAAACGCAGTCCGCCTTTGGGTTTGTATCTGCTGATTCAAAGGCATGTGTCAATACGGGTCTCTCATTCAAATGTTTGTTTTAGTTTCCTTCAAGCTGTTTGACTGGCGCAAAACAAAACAACGTATATACAGAGAACATGAACTGAAATTCCAGTGTCTCATTTTCAACTAAGGGAATACATTCCCGATTCAAACAAGGGTCCCTTTAATTGTGTGTTTCTCAGAGTAGGGTTTCCCTATGGGTTTCTTGAGTTTCCTTTACCAACTAAAAGGAGGTCCACGATTTTGAGCATTTTTTAGTGAGGTTCCTCGGATCCCCCGGTTTGGAGACAATTGGGCAACTTCCATGAAAGCCAACCTGAAAAAGGGGGCCCTCAAGAAAAGACGCCAAAGGTTTCATCGGGTTCAAGGCTCGAGGATGGCATATGGGACATTTAGTTCGTTCTCAGTTGTTCAAAGGCCACCTTTTGACCTTTTGGTTTTCGCATTTGGTCCATACTTGGTCATGGTCCCAAAAGGTTAAGCTTTGAGTTGCATGTCCCTATGGATTCTTCATTAGAGGGCTGGAGTTTGCATTGGGTCCCGGCGCGACGCTTAGCTGGCTGGCTTTGCGGATCACAAATGAGCATCCTCCACTCCAAAGACATGTTTTGGTCATGGTTTATTTGGAAGAGCCTGTTTTCCCATGGGCAAATACCGCATTTTGGGCCCGAGGCTTACATGCCACCCCGCCGGCAACAGCGGGTATTTGGGGCCCGGGGGGTTGTGGCGCACGTAGGCCCGGGCGATCTCCGAAACTTCGACGAGTTCCCCTTCAAGGCTTTGCCCACCGCGGAGGCGCGCGAAGCACCACTCGGCGGCGGGTTTGAGGTTTCGTTTGGAGCTTCGGGGAAGCAGGAGACGCAGAAGTTGGACAACAACCCTGACGTCTTTTTGAGGGGGAGATGGCATTTGGGATGTGTTTTGTTGGAGTTGGTACCCTTGAACGTTTTTTGGCACTCTCAAAGGAAACCAAATGGAATTTACACAACAAATGGTCCATGCAAGACTTTAGCGTCCTTGCCAGGTGTACCAGTTGAGTTGGTTCTGTTCATTTTCAGGGCAAGGAGCAAGGTTCTTTTGCTGGCATACCAGGTGCTGGGATGAAAAGCGTGTCTTCTGTTGTGTTAAGGAGGATCCCTTTATTTCTCTCCCCCCAATTGAGAAACCAGCCAAGAGGTAACCCCTGGTTTCGGACATGCAACTTTACTCCCAGCCTTTCTGGAATCTCTTTTGATATTGCCATTTGAAGGAGGCTCCTCAAAATCCACCAACCTCCAGAAAAAGAAGAAAAGCCAACCCATCTTGTGCTTGAACATTTGCAAGTTGGCGTTATTTTTGTTGTTTTTTGGGTGGTGTCCGAGGAAGCGGTGGGGCCCGAATTTCGGTACATTTGCTTCCAGAGGGTCCTTTCTTTCCCTCCATTTTTTTGCCACCGCGGCAGGCTCCAAAACTTTATGTGTTTAGAGATCAACATGGACCAAAAATGAAGCATCATGTCTAGTCCATGAAATTTCCAGTGTACACACTTGTTTGGGGCCAAGGATTAGCATTGGCACCTCCAAATCTTTGTTTTTTTTCTGTTTCCGGCAGCTTTTTGGTCGAGGTCACAGCCTGGAACGAGGCGCGGTGGAGGGGACAGGGAGTTGGAGTGCACCCGCTTGAAATACCAAGTCTTTAAGGGTGTGGGGTCAAATGATGTCAGCCCCTGCCAAGAACAAGTGAATATTTGGAGAGGGGGCACTGTGACCGCCCTCCCTGAGTTCTGGGAGTTTACAGTATTACACTTTGTGGGGGTGCCCTAAGGGTGTCCGGACCCCAATGCAGACCGCCGTACAGCGTACTCGAGGCCCACTTCTTCCAAGAACGCCAGCCGGCGACCCCGGGCTGACCTCTCTCCTCCCAAAACTCCTTCTGCTCCTTCACAAACTTGCCGTAGGCGGAGTCTTTGCCGTGCTTCAAGAACTCATGCCTGCGAAAAGAAACGCAGTTCCTCCAATTTTTAGGACCCCAAAACCCGTCGAATCAGGCCGGTCAGGAGCGAATCATTGGGTTTGGGTCCAGGGTGAGTTGGTAGACGGCACACTTTCCATTGGGTAGAGGGTGTGACGTGACTAAACCTACCCAGTTTTTAATATTGACTCTCTACTGTAAAGGGGATGGCATGGGGCACACAAGCCCAAATTAACGCTAGGAAATGAAGGGTTGCTCACCAAAATCCGATGTTGGTGGACAAAATGAACAGTGGCCGTGACTATTAGAAGTTGAGCTAGGTTCCATTTGGGTTTCGGGATATGGATGCTAGATTGCACATGTTCAACCACAAGCTGACCCATGGGGTTCAAGCCTCAAACAGAGACACACCCATTTGGGTTTGTTATCTTTCATGGTACTCTTTTTGGTTTGTTTTAAAGGGGAAACCACCCATTTTGCAGGTTCGCCTACTTTCAGACACACTCAAATCAGGTGTTGGAATCGAATCAGCTGCCGGGTAGGACCCCTCCATGGAGTGGAGCAACTACGACTTCGACCGGGACGCCTTCGAGCTCCAACGCCCCGAGGCGCGGGAACGGACGCGGGCGATGTCTCCCAAGTCTCGTGGTTTTGGTCCCAGGCAATCCTTGCCATGCGGGTGGGGCTGAAACTTAAACAGGAGGGGTTACGCAGGTTTTGGTCCATGTTTCCACCTGCCAGGGTTCCATCTTGGTGCCAGTTTTTTGAGCCACAGCCATGTGGTTTGGATTGGTTGAGATGTGAACCCCTGTCGGTTGTAGGGAAATGGGAAGCCCCCCCGAACCAAAGCACCAATCCACCTTGTTTTGGGAAGCTGACTAGGGGCCATGACCCCCCCCAACGCAGACAACAGTTGAGACTCTGGGGGCTGAGGACGGATTTTGCTCAAATTCTGGGAATATGGGAAGCCTTGATGGTTTTTAGTATCAAAGGAGCACCAACACGTGTTTTCTTTTTGTATTTGTCCCATCCTTTTGCAGAGGTTATTTGGAGAAGTATCTTTTTACATTGCCAAAATGCCATATGCAAATGATACGAGGGACATTTGGGGTGATACACCAAGCGGATCGCAGTAATGAGGTCAAGGGGACAGCAGCCCATTCTGGATCCCATTTTTGGGGAGCCCCAGAGAAGAGTTCAACCGCGTTTTTGTTTGGGGGGGAAATCAACCTGGGGGTTTAAGTCTAGCTCGGGCAATCGAACTATGTCCCCGTATGCTACAGAAAGGGGCGTCCATTTTCCAAACCCGCTACACCAAATATCCACTTTTCTTGCTTTCTTATGTCCAATCTGTTGCCACTTTCAGTTGACGGTCGCACATCATGTTTCACTGGAAGATCCTCAAGCCTTCACGCTGGCCCCCTCCCTTTTTTTGTTGGTGCGGAGTGCTGCGCCTACACCCAAACAAATGTTCGGTGACTGGCCTCAGGCGCCAAAATTATTTGCCCCAAACGCCGGGTAAAGGGCACCCTTGGTATATGGCCTTTGTCGCACACATTTTCTCAACCACTCGGGGGGTTCTGCTTTGCTCAGGCGGTAAAAGAGCTGCTGCAGATCCACGAGCAGGAGGCTGGTTGCCTTTCGCGAAGGTCCGGTTTACGTTATCAATGAAAAGGGGCTTTGTTTTCAGTTGACACATGGACATAAGAGAGAGGTTGTTGGTCAAGTTGGTCCAAGAAGGAAGCCAAGAGGGTTCAAATGCCTTTGAGACCTACCCACCTACTTTGGGATTCAGGGGAATACTTAAAAAGGCTTTTAGAAGGAGGCTTTGGATATTGTTGCCAACGCGGTGGTTGGACCGAGCTGGCCAAGACGTGGGGTTATGTTTCAATCATGGTTCTTAAACCGTACACACGGGTCATTTTCCTGGAAAATGTCCGCTTTTCTGGAAGGAATGACACCATGGGAAAGCATGGCGAAGATATCGGATTGGAGCCCCAGGTGCCACGGCAAAATCGATGCGGAGCACCGGGGCAGCAACATGCTGGGTGCGAATTCTTTCGTGAAGCCAACAACTGGTGTGTTTGTAGGTTCCGTGTAATCTGCCGTTCTTGGGAATATGGGGAAGCCGCACCGAAACATGGGATGGGGTTTCAACTGACAAAAACTCCCAGGCCCTGGTTCTAATAAAAGGACACCAAAACGATCCAAAACGAGCTAAATTTGGGACCCCCTAAACTGTTGACTTGACAAACTCATGCCAAAGCAAGTCGGTGTTGAGGCCCCGTTCGCGTAAGTCGAGCGGTTTGATCCTGGGTCCATATTAAGGCGCAAGCGCACGAGGGGACGCTGGCACAAAATTTCACTGAGCCCTGCCAGTTTGTGTTGGGGCAGAGTTTGGGTCCGCGAAACCTCAGGACTACGAAGAAAATCAAGCCGCAGCTTCGTACCTTGGATCCGTGCAGGGAGCTGCACCGGGACCCAGGACCAAAGTCATTCTGAAACTGCCCATGTTGAATCATGAGGTTTGGTCAAACCCTCAGCTGAAACCGTGGCTATGAGCGCAGGCAGTGCTCGGCATCTAGACCGGTTTCCCGGCTCGTGCTGGGCTTAGCATGACTCCAAATCCCCACGTTTTTGGCCCGCCAACTCTTCCAGGTGCCGGAGGGTTCCGTGGGTTCCAGGGCAGTTGGGGATACTTGCTGGTATAATATATATATATATATATCATAATATATATATATACAGTTGAAACCAGGTTTTCCATGGCGAATACCTTTTCAGTGGGGGGTTCACAATTCATGCTCTACAACACGAGTTGCAGATGAAGGGGGCAGTTGCTCTCAAGTTGTTCGTTCTTTTGACCAACTAGCTGGGGATCGCACATGAGCCTCTTGAAGATCTGATCTGTCCGTGCAAATGGCTCATTTGTTGGGTTCCAGCTTCTTTGGAGCGTCAGTTGACTCGAAGATTTGCTAGAGCTACCAGTAGAGCTGGCAAAGTGAGTGGGGACAGTTTCAAAAAGATGGAACCTATATTTCAGTTGTCTTGCTTGTTCCTTTCTTCTGTCTGTTTCTCCTCTTGCTGGTTGACATCTTTACTTATTATATTTTCTTTATGTGGTTCTTTCTTTATTTGTGTCTCTCTCTCTCTCTCTCTCTGTCTACCGATCTATCATTCCGTCTGTTTGTCTTTACATGTATATAGTGTCGGGTCGGTCTTCTTTCTTTATTTCTTCCTTTCTTTTGTGCTTTTGTTTCATGCATCTATAGTCTATGTAGCTATCTATGGAATGTATTGTTGTGTCTCCCTACCTATCTATGTAACTCTCTCTCTATATATATAGATATATCTGACTATCGATGTAGCTGTCTATATACCTATCGATCTATCACTATCACCTTTGATGGATTGATCGAGCTATCCATCCATCCATCCATCCATCCATCCATCTATCGTTCCATCTAACATAACATATCATAGTATTTATCTAATCCATCCATCTATCTATATTATCTTATCGTATCTTATCTTGTCTTATCTTATCTTATCTTATCTATCTATCTATCTATCTATAGCTATAGCTATCTATAAATCTAGCTATCTATCTATCTACCTACCTACCTACCTATCTATCTATCTATCTATCTATCTATCTATCTATCTATCTATCTATCTAGTCTGTCTATCTATGTATCTAGCTATTTATTTATCTATCTGCGAGCCGATTTTGCGAAAGTCGCTGCATCTGCCACGGCCGTGCCACTGGTCCCGCCCCCTAGAGTATTCGAGAGTGCTCCGCACGCGCTCCGACAAGGCGCTGCGGTCAGGCTAACTTTCGACCATCCCAAGAAACCAACATCCGCAGAGAGTTGCACTTCTTCGACATTTCTATTCCCTCGCCAGACGCGCGCACATTATTTTGTGCATGCTTCTTCTTTTCGTGTCTTCTCTAGAGCTGGCCTGAATTGGTTGCTGTGCCGGATATGTTCCGATTGGCATGAGGTTATTGATGAGTGGTTTTATCTCACACTACAAACTACAAACCCGTTCAAAGCAGTTTTGCGCTTACTCACTTGCTCAAAGCCAACCTTTTTACTTTCTTGTTTTCCTGCGTCACTATTTAGCCATGGTTCCGAAAGGTTAGCATTTGATTTCCAGGTCCGTGGTTCAAGTGAGCTTGCAGTATCTCTTTTTCTGGTAGGTAGCCAGAGGAAAGGTGACGATGCCAAGAGGTCAACATCCTGCTACTTGAGCTCGGCTTTGGGGGGGGGGGTCGAGATGGTTTCGCAAGAGCCAATAGCTGGCGCCTGGATTCAGCATTGAACAGAGGTTGCTCCAAGCCGAAAGAGATCGACTTTGTTTCTTGGGGTTCCCTCCCTTCGGAACGATGGAAAACCTCTTGTGTTGCACGGTGCCAAGCCCCCCTTCCTCCTAGTTGGCAACAGCTTTCGTCCTGGGACCGGGAACATATTTTCATAGCAGCTTTGTCCATACCTCGCATACCTGAACTGAACCAGCCTGCAACTGTTTGTTTGCCTACAATGCAGAGACCTTCATGGAAATCGGCAGCTTGGTAGGTGAAGGTTAGTAAGGGACAATGCAAAAATATGTGCGGATTTCCGTTTGGATTTGTCACATGGCTTTGAGCAGACAACTTTTACTCACTCCCTGTGTTTCTGGAGTTTGTTGACAAGGGAGGACCATTTTGGTGGTAAACACAAAGTTGATTTTTTTGGCCAGTCTACCCAGGAAGTGAATAGTGACCATGTTTTGATTGCAACTCACTTTCTCCACCATTTTTTTTTTCGGATTCCTTCGGCTCCCTCAACCGCGAGGTTTGTCTGAAGCGCTTCCGGACTTGCCTGGAATTCGATGCATAGAGCACTTGCAAGTGGATGTGGGTATGTCCTTTATTCAAAGGACCCTTCAAAATAGTAGTTTGCCTTGTGGTGTTCCTTGTGGTTTTCGTTTAAACCTCAAAACAGCGGTTACCGACTCCAAAAAAGGACGAGCGCGTGCCATGGAGAGATCAGATATGTTTTCCCCCGCCCCCCCCCCCCCTCCCCTAAACCCCATATAGATCCGTTACGTGGGGATTTCGCGTTTAGGCATTCTTTTCTTGGAGGCGTTCCCTTGTTGAGCCCCAGAAATGGGGGGGATCCTTGTAGTTTCCCTAGCAACTCCAAGCAGGGTACCCTCAAAAGCAGAGACCCAATATGAGTTGGTGTCTTGTTGATGCGGGTCTTCTGTGGGTTGCATTTCGAGGAGCCCTCAACACTTGTCCATTTTTTTCACAAGATTACCACCCACTGCACTTTTGTTGTTGTCTTCCTCCAAAGATGGGTGGATCACATGAAGCCTACAAAAAGCAGAAGACATCAGATCTACCTTGAGAGTCTCCCAGGTGCAACCATGCTTCAATTCAGGTGAGTCCTTTGGTGTTCTGATTTGCGTGTGTCTGTTTTGGGAAACTCCCGGCTTTTTAAGGGAAAAGAAGGAAACCACGCACTTGGGGGGGATCCAGACAAATAGAAGACACATACCTATTTATCGAAATCCTGAATCAACCCAAAAGGTGATCGAGGTCCTCAAGTGCGAACTGTCCCCCCCCCCCCCCACCCGTCTCCCAACGATGACTGCTGTTTTCCATATGTCCACAACCGCTGGTCACGGTCCATAAAGCAGTCGTGGGGAGGTGGGTGCGTCTTTCTTTAGAGAACCGCCCCCCCCCAAAACAAAAAAAAAACACACACACATCCTTTAAGCCAATCCCAAAACGGGTACCCTCCAACAAAGGACAGACCCAGGTGCTCGCCATTTCTGTTCGCATGTCTTTCGACGGTCCCTGGCCGGGGCTCTGGCTTCAGCAGGGACCTTCGCAGAATTCGACATCTCAGAGTCGCCCTTTGCACCCCGGCGAAGGATGTCTCGTGTCGTTGCGGAGCTGGGTATCCCAAATTTGTTTTGAAGAGGGAGCCTGTAAGGGAGCTTTTAGAAGTTCTGTAACGACATGGTTTTTCTCACTCCACAATCAAAATGTTGGTCTGTACCTGAACTGAACCAGCCTTGCTTGTTTTGCCAGACAGCTAGGCAGAGGCCTTGACGGAAATCGGCATAGTAAGGGACAATGATTATATACATGGGTGCGAATGTCTGTTTGTAGACCAGATTTTGGGCAGGCCACTTTACTCACTGGACCATGTTGGTGGTCAAGAAAAAGTTTCGACTTTTTATGGCCACCCCACTCCAGAAGTGAGTTCTGCGCTTACTCCAACTACCCAGTGTTTTCGGGCAACGCCCAACAGCAAAAAGCATACATTTGGAGTAGGGGGAAGGGGGAGCGAGGGGTGGGCGTGATGTGAACTCCTTTGAAAGCACGCCTACAATCCTGGATGTCCCTTGAAACAAGCTTGCGAATCAGTTCGGGATCGAGAGTGCCATTCAAGCTGATTGTTGTTGTCGCCCCCTACTCACTATACCTTAATATACACAGCCAGACTGCACGCTCAAACACATATTTATTTTTCCTCCGCGATACGTGCCTCAAGCTTAGTTGGTGATTGACATATGTTGACATCATACCGTTGAAAAACATCGATATTTGGGGTTTTACGAGGTTCTGTGTGAATGCAAACTCGTTGAGCCCCGAGAACTCGACGAGGACTTGTCGAAATTTCGGCTGGGACTGATAGAGCCATGTCCAAACTTCCTGGACGGACCAATCTTCCTGTGTCCGGAAAACTTCCTGGTAGAACCATGGTTCCTTTGACGCAGAATGCACCAGACCCGGGGGTGTGCAGATCCTTTCGCCTGCAACCAGGCAGCATGTCCGCCAGTCTCTGCTGCAGTTTCATGGGCTTCTGGTGACCATGGCGGTGGAAAATCGAGTGTTTGCACAACTTTCTGGGATTCCAAAATAATCCCAAGACGGTGACAAAGACTTCTTAAGAGTAATGGCAAAAGGAGTGTATCCGGATCTAGGAATTCAAAAGAGCGGAACGATGCCAACCCCGACTAAAAACGGAGGTACTGTAAAAGCAATGTGTGCTTCAACATATATCCTTACTGTAACAAGTGGGTATTGGGAGTAGGGCCAGGTTTTCCTTAAACATGGCCGACATGTACTATTTTTTGGAGGGGGAACTGGGAGGACTTCAAACACAAACCAAGAGAAAGTTCCGATTTGTAGGGGGCGGGCCTCCCCATTTGGCACAAGGGGTAATAGGGGGCAAATCGAGGTTTGGGAATTTCAGGGGAGCAGTGGACAATATTGCTGGGCTACTCCAGGTCCAGTATTCTCCAAATATCAACTTCTTTGAGGGTATGTTTTGTTCATTCCTGGCTAAAGGAGGTGCTTGGAGAACTGTATGTTCTGGACATACCCCAAAATGGCGGGTAGTTAGAGGGTATTCATGAGGCATGCCCAGAGAGTTGGGGTTCAGACCCAGTTAATGGGGGCCCCAAAACGAAGCGGGTGTCCTGTTGGTTTCCCTGTAAACAAAAGGGGCACATGTATCAACAAACACGCACACCCGTGTATCCCACAAAGAAAAAGGGCTTGGGATAAGGAAATTGCACTATACTTCTTCAAATCTTATTGTACAGAAGCTGCGCAGGAACTTGGACGTCATAGGAAATCATAGGAGGCAGATCCATGTCGAAGACATGCTGGGTCCCAGCGGACCTGATGGTCGAGGTTTTGTGGCATGTGCAAAATGCCAGCAGGAGGTTTTGCGCAAGCCGTGCGCAGTGGATTGCCCCGAAACTGTGCAAGAGTTGTACCCCTACTCCCAATGCGAGCCTTTTTCTGTGGACAGGCCCTTGAGGGGCCCGGCAGTCGGCATTGCAGGGGTCATGAGGCTTGGTGTATATATGAAGAACAGGCAGTCATTGAGAGGGGTTACCCTGGTTTCCCCGCGAGCCAAAAGGGGACTGTTCCCATCGAAAGCACCGGTGCAAAGTCTGCACCGATTCCATTACGCTCCTCTCGTTCAACACGCCTTACTTGCAATCTTGTTGTGCCGATCGGGTGTGCCTTTGTTTAGATTTGGTAAGGCATCCTTTGTTGGGTTATCCGGGGATGATTCTCCCCTCCTTGTCGGGAAACCCAGTTTGGGAAGCCCGTTCCTATTTTGTGTATAGTGGCTCCCCAGATTGGCATGAAACTTCAAAAACAGCATCAGAGGAGACTCTTTGTTGGTGGCTTTCAATATGGGTGTTTCTCGAAATTAGGGACCAATTCCTCCAGGTGGTTTCCTGGGTTTTCCTATCCTGGGTAAGTGGAATCTGCCCGGAGGGGTCTTCCCTTTGAAAGATGGGGATCACTTGTGGTTTCCCAGAACGGGTCCGATTCCGATTTTGAGAAGCCCCCTGGTTGAACCCTTCGCGCGCAGGGGCATCCTCACCGGATACCCGCAAGGCCCGGCGAAAAAACACGGATGGCAGAAACGACCCCGGGTCCCAAAGAGGAAATTGGTCAAGGGCTGTGATTTGTCCCCGGACTAAAAGAGGCAGGCATTTCAGCGGAGGTGCTTTTTCTTTCTAAATCAGCCTTGAAAGCAGCGGTTGGTTTTGAGCGGGCAAACGTTCAGGAGAGACATTCGGCCCCCCTACCTTTTAGAGTGTGCCTAGGTCAGACCCTTAACCAGAAAGGTTGGATTTGATTTTGGAAATAGACATGGCTCTCGCACCATCATTAACACCAGCCCTGTTCCGGGTCTCCAAATATTTTGATTATCGGGAGCCCTGTTTTCTACGGGTCGGTCTGGAAAGAAGCTGGAGAGACCCAGGGAAGTTGTCACTGCCTTCAACCAGCCCCCCCCCCAAAAAAATGGAGAAAGTAGGGGGCCTGGGGGGAAGAGGGAGGAGTGTTGGGGTTATTGGGTCAAATGTTGTTATCCAACGTTTTAACACCCTTGTTTGATTTCATCCTATATTTTGTTGTAGGGTGTTAGGGGTGGATTTTCTAGGGGCCGACATTTTTTTCATTTGAAAGAGTTAGCCCTTTTAGTAGTTATTATGTTCTGGGGTGTTGGTGGTTCATTTGTTTATTCCTATTCTTGTTCAAAGTCACTTGTTGTTTCCATGTAATCTCTCACAGTATCGTTATTGTTTTCTTGACCTTTCACTCTTAGTTGGTGCTTACTTGTTTGTTGGTGTTTTTTCATTTTGTATTTTCCTACCATACATTTACATAAAGGACATTCTACTTTCAATTGGTTATAGTCTTTCTGTTTTTCATTTATGTCTTCTTTGTTTTTTCTCTATATTCTTTTGATTTTTGCTTTATTTCGTCTTTATGCTTTTCACGATAAATCTTGTTCTTTTCCAGTATAGTGTCTTTGTTATTCTCTCTATATGTCTTTTTCTTCTCTACAATCTGCTCTTTGTTGTTTTCGTAATACTCCTTTGACTTTTGCTGTATTTGTTCTTTGTGTGCTTCTCTATACCGCCGTTTGCTCTCCAAGCATACATTACATTGTTTTCTTCCTTCGTTGAACTTTTCTAACAATTGAAAGACTTTACATTTGGAACATTGCTTTTTGTCTGTCATTGGTCTCTATATGTTTAAGGGGTTATTTGTTTAGATAAGTTTAAGGGGTTTTATAGGTTAAAAGTTCAGTATAATTATAACATATAAGATTTTACATGTAATTATTATAGTATGATTAGAATTTCAGTTCAGGATAATAATCTAATTGGTTTGTCTTACTTCTTTCATACATCATTTTAAAAATAATATTAACATCTCTCAATGTATTTTGAATATTAAACTTTTTACTTTCAATAAATAATTTGATATTGTCTTTAACATCTTCTCCTTTCTCTTGACTATAACCCAACATCCATAATATATCATCAATCATTTCATATTTTTTCTTACTGATTTTAAGAAACTGTTTAATATAATCGTAAGGTGGTATTT